AACAAACAAAACAAAAACCCAGGACCAAGGGTTTGTAGGATTACTTTTGGTAGGATATTTGGAGAAGATGTCTCTGAGGAAGTGACTTTGAGCAGAGTCTGAAGGACAAGACACCAGCCAAGTGAAGATCTGGGTGTACCAAGCAAAGAAGGTACCACATGTGAGGTCCCAAGGAAGGAATATGTTGGTGTATTGGGGGAAGAGTAAGAAGGCCAGTATGGCTGGAGTCCAGTGAATGGGGGACAATTTGGCAGGAGTAAGAATATGTCCAATGTTTTAAGCCAGGTAAAGGAATGTTGACTCCAAGTACACTGAGAATTGTAAACTCAAGACCATGGAATCTGATTAACATGGCTAAAAGATCTTTTGTTGCATGGAAACTGGACTGTAGAGGAGCAAGTGTGGAAACATGGAAAGCAAGATTTAGTATCTCTGTGTGTGTATGAATATTGTTAGGATCTCGATCATGCCTCTGAAAAGACCCCAGATAAAATAAGTATGTGATGAGAAAGCAGCCTCCATTCCACCCCACTATTTAACCTTGAGTATGTATCTACAGCAATCCAGAAGGTGACTGGTCACCAGTGCGGCAATAAATGTAAAAACTAATCCATCTTGACTGAAAGAGAGTGAGGTCCAACCCCAAAGAACTAAGTTCTCTTTTAACAGAACTCTATAAAGCAGATGACGCCAGCTAAATGGGCCTGAGATTCTCTAGAAAATAAGCCTCTGCTTACCCTCAGCAGCTGTTGAAGGAGCTATCCAGGGTGCTGGCCTGTCTCACCCTGAAGCTTTCTAAGACTTGGTGAATACGGCACTCGGTTGTCCTTTTTGAACCCAAGGCCCCCACAGCATTGAACCATAACTACATTCCACCTTCATACCATGTCCTCCTTCCACTTTCATACTATGTCTTAGATAACGTGCAAGCCAACACTTTTCTGGGCCACATCTGGCCAATCTAATGTTAAACAATGTTTGCACACATCTTTTAGGCAGAATATGACGTGGCAGCGTAGCTAGTGGTATGTAGATAGTCTTGGGCCTCCTCTGTGCCTCATGACCTTCTGAAATAATAATGTCAGATTAGCAGTGAGCTCAGTGGAGTATTTTTCCCTTGGAATAATACTCAAATACCTGGTTGCTGAAACTATAACAGATCTGCTTATATAACTCATCCCAGAGCCTCTAAAACACAATCTAAGGAACACTACTTCTAAACCTGAAATAATTAATAAATTCATAAAATATCAAATTTCACCCTCTGGCTTAAATAGCATCCTTCACTTTTCTCTTTAAAAAGAATGCATTGCACTGGAGGCCATTACTCAATCTCTTAAGTAATCAAGTTTGTACACTAAGTAGTGGATGAAAATGTGTATGCTTTCAAGTCAAACACTTTACCTCTTCAACCAAAACACTTAGAACACGAGAATAATCTGATGCACACTCATTTCTGGCTCTCTTCTTTAAGTAACAAGGAAAACAGGGAGAGCTGCAGCATCTTCAGAACTTCCCACCTACGTGTCAGACCCTTCACCATCCTTAAATGTGTTTGAGGGTCAGTGTGATTTATCAAGAGCCACAGACGTTCAGCAGAAACTTTTTAGTTCCAAGTAATCAAGATTATGATGAGAAAACAGGCCTAGAAATCCTTAAGCTTGCCCTGGCATTTCCTTGTTACATATACAAACAAATCAAATGGAACTTGGAAATGTCTTTCAAGTAAAAAGGAAATCAATTACTTTGTTTTTACACAGTCTAAGATCCAAATATGTGGCCCAGAAATGTCTTTGTTTAATCTAATGGTAAATTAATTGTGTTAATTTTTGCACAGAACTCACACTCTGTCTTTCCCCCAGGTCTTTGCTCATAGGTTCGTTCATACAGCGGAATACACATCTCTCCTTCTTTATCTTGCTCACTTGACTCGCCCTCCATGCTTAATCAAGAAACCTCTGGAAGCCTGACTCACTCCCAACCAGGAATGAGTAAAGTCTGAACGCCTTTAAGATGCCACACTCACCTCCATCTTGGCACTGTCCTTTAATTGCTGGTTTATTTATCCATCTCTCCCTCTACCTCATTAATTCTATGAGAGTAAGGACTGGGTCTTTCCAACCATTGCATCTCCAGGGAGTTACACAGAGCTTTGCCTAGTAGATGTTTTCAGTGAAAAAACAGAATGAATGAATGAACTTAATAATATTAGGGTTCTTCCCTATCTCTAAAAGCTAATAACTCTGACTTGTTTCTCAACTTCTTCCAGAACTTTGGACTCAATAATTATCTCATTTAAGAAACTTAACATAAGTGATTTCACACCATGATACATAAAAAGTTTCTGAAACCATGTCAAAATTGCAATTTTATATAGTGCAATTTCAATGAAATCCTACTATTTGCTCTGTGTATTCAAGATGGAGAGAACAGATATATATTTTTTAACTATCAAACTATCAAACAGAAGAAAATTATTTAAAAGTCTGAACTTGAGATAGTCCCATATCAATACAATATCTATTTTAAAGCTTATATTTCATTCATTGATTTTTTTAAATCAGTGTACTTTTCTTGTTTCCTGTGCTTTCTGTTCTTAATTCTTAGAGACAATACTAAATTTTATGAAATTTATATAATATGATCTAAATGCTGAACAGGTATGAGGAAAATAATTTGTGATAATTGTTTCTAGGAGAAAAAAGTCATTCCTATTTTCAATCTCAATATTTTTATATTCATAACTGACAATAATTCCTTTTCTTATATTCATCTATTGTTTTCTTTACCTCTGTCATACAGGTAGTCTATTGATAAAAAGCTGATTTACTTTCTAATTGTATTATGAGGACAAATACTTTTACTTCCCCAAATAAATTTCCCAAATAAATTCTAAAAGTTGTGGGATTATGGATTGTATCTTACTCTTTTTTCTCTCAGAACCTCTAATCTGATGTAGAGTAAGTTCTCAAGAAAAAAAAATAATAATCAAAATATTAGATTTAGAAACAATCTATTCCCTTTCCATCTATTCCCTTTCCATAAATAGTGGTATTTAGATTAGATAAAATCAAAGAAACATTAAATCAAGAGTCAGTAAATTATGGTCCACACACCTGTTCTGGTCAGTTACCTGTTTTTATGAATAAAGTTTTATCGTCACATAACCACTCCCCTTTATTTGCATATTATCTGTAACTCCTTTCGGGCTACAATGACAGAGTTGAACAGAGACCATATGGTTTGCATAGCCTAAAATAGCTACCATCTGACCATTTACAGAAAATAGTTTACTGACCAATGGTTCAAATCATTCTTACTGATGAAAGAACTCAGTCTCAGATCCATTTGTCCAGGTAAGTAGTCAAACCTATTCACTATTCATACCTCTCTCAGATGCTGTTTCACTACCAGACTAAATGCTTGGTGAAAATAATAGTATTGTATAAAATCAAATGAACAGTAAATCACACAGTAAGTGGGTTGTCAGAAGACCTCTCAGGGTTTATACTAACCTAAATCAAAATATAAATATCATTTTTCTGAATTAAGAGAGAAAATAAAGTCAATTAGTAAAATTAAATAATCTGTTTGTATATATATATTTCTCTATCTCTATTTAGTAAATTAATAATATTTATTTAACTTATATTTAGAATTTATGTGTATATATATGCGAACACAAAGATTGCTACCAAGAATATCATTAATTTTATAAAAATACCAACAAAAAAGTCGATGTCTTACAGCAGAGTTCTAAAAGATGTTGAAAGCAATAAGTGTCAAAGAAAATGCTCTTAAAATGGACCATGCTGACCTCACATGCTACTTGATTATATGAGCAGCTTTTTTTAAAAAATGCCACTGGCAACGAAAGGAAAAATAAATAGTATGTATCACCCCCCAGCTTTCATCTCATATCAAGGCAGTGAAGAGTTGTAACAGAAAGTTCACGAGAATCCCTTCTCCAATCAGTGTTTATTAATTTAGCAGACTCTGGTTTTCAACAAGTTATTTAAGTCTGGATTTTTGCAGAGGAAATTACACAAAAACTCCATCAGAAACATTCTTAGTATTTATATACTAACCTTCACTTAAGCTGAAAGATAAAGAAGAAGAGAAAAATGCTCCACACTTATGACAAAAAAATGAATTCAATTAACTGAAATTGCTGTCAGATCTCTGTTCCTGTCAGATAAAGTCTCTTTAGCATAGATATTTTGGTAGTAAAAAATGATTGATGTTTCCCCAGGGTATTCTATTATAATGCAATAATAGGGACATCTCTGGAGTAGAAGCATAATGTAGCTGGCAGTATATCAGAGAAGATGCACTTGGCAAACTGTATATAAGAAAAAGATGGAGGCTGGCAGGATGACAAGGTGTTCTAGATGGAAAGTTAGTAACTGTTTGGTACAGATGATACCTCCCCCATTACAAGTCACCAGTCATTGGGTTTGCTCATTTTAGCAAAAGGTCATGTCATTCATTGAGACAAGAAAGGGATGGAGGAAAAGAAGAGAACAAGCTAAGTTACAATTGATCTGGAGCAAAGATCAGAACAGAATATTTACCTGGACAAGACAATGGTAGAGAGATAATTACACATGGTCAATTAATCATGTACCATATCATACAAGCACAGTTCCCTGCAAAACATGGATATCCATCTGCCATCTCCTAACCAGTACATAGACAACATTTCTTTTTTCCTCAGAGACTCAGTTACTGAAATTCTTCCATAGAGTTGCTCAAGAGACTTTTTTTTAATCTTGCCAAATGAAGGAAGCAGAATAACTCAGCCTCAACTGCTCTGGTATCTGTCAATTCCTTCTCCTAAGACTCTGTCTCTCTGCCATGTTTTCATCAATGATATTAGTGAACTTATTCCTGTTTTGTACAAATGGCTAGTCCTAAATCTTCCTTCTTCAGTAGCTTTGACTCTTAGGATCTGCTCTTAGGATCAAAAATAGAAGAGGTTGTTTTCAACACGCTATTACCTTGAATACTTCTCTTGAAGAAGGCCTTACAGCCCTCACAGGACCAGACCCCATAATGGTAGCCTGACGCATAGTCATTGCACACCGCACAGTAGCGAGTCTCCTTGGCAGATTCCATAGCCATGCTTCCCTTGTCACTGCTACTGGACAATCTCTCTCTGCCACCCTGGCGTCGATTATCTGAATTTGGCCTGGAAAAAAAAAAAACAGTAAAGCTATTAACATTAGAAAAGCAAAACATGCACTCTCCTCTAAAGAGTAAGAGGCTTGGGAGATGTAGCAGATCCACTTTATTCTGACATTTTGAAATAATGAATCATAATGTAAGCTAATCTTTCATTACCTCTTGCTGTCTGTTGCAGCAAAAGGTGTTGCCTATTATATTAACCTTGAGGGAAAATTGTGTATTGCAAACTTGCTTAAAAAGCAGACTGTCTACACCAGAAGATATTACCCAGAAAAACAACAAAATGATATTCGCTAGTTTCTAATAGACTTACTCGTTTTCTTGGGGACTTACCATTAATTCAGAAGTATTAGGGACCAATGATCATTCCAATTTTAGACCATACTGAGGGTCTTTAGGAAACAGGGACAGAACATAAAACAGCTGGGGCACTGGGAACTCAGATGGACAGATAAACATCATAAAACATGTGTCCAAAAAAATGGATTCAACTTTTCATGTCATTGTTACCATGTAACCTTGCCTGCCAGTTTTTATAACTTGACTCTGTAATTTGATGATACTATTTTTCAATACTCAATGCTCTTCTTTAAGAACACGTCAAAAGAGAAGAGTAGTGGGACATAGATGGTTATAACAACCTTCAAAGATTTTATGGGAGAAACATATTCCAGAAACAAAACTGAAAATGAACAGTAAAGAAGTTCTAAGAACACCAAGAAAATGGAAAAGTAAAGCGCTTTAAGAAAGGAGAAATCGTTAAAGAGAGAATGATCAATAATGCTAAATGGGGCAGAGAAGTCCAATGAAACAAGGATGATAGAGTGAATTTTGATCTCATGAAGAGAACTCTTAGCAAGGAGTTTCAGTAGATGGATATAGGCACTAGCCAAAATCCAGATGGTGGAAGAATGGATGGAATGTCAGGAAATGAAAATGATCACTCCTTTGAGAATTTGGGTGAGAATGGGAAAAGATACAGATAAGGTGATAACTAAAGGGTATAAAACCAAAAATAATAATAATAAAGAAAGTAGATGAAGAAGATTTTTTTAGAATGGAAGAGACATGAGAATGAGAATGCCTCCTATAAGCTGAAGGAAATAGGCGAGTAGATAGGGAACGAATGGCTTAAGGCACAAAGAATGGGATAAAAAAATAACGTCAAGAAGGAAACTAGAACAGTTAGGATTAAAGACACAAGTAAAATACATTGCCTTAATGAAAACACCTTGAAGACTGGAAGGAAGGAGGTAAGGAAAGACGTACATGAGGATAAGTTTGCATCTCTCATCCGACCAGATATGGAAGCAGATGACATTGACTCAAGATTTGCCAGGCCTGTGCAACCAAATAAAGGTGGGAGAAGTGCCTAGCACAGTGTTACATGGTATATAATTGGCACTCAGTAATATATTTATGTGAATGAAGAGAGTTTTCAAAGGTATGTAAGAAAGAGAAGTAGACAGATGTTGAAAGTATAGATGGGAGAGTTCCAGTAAGATGGCGATGGCCAAGATCGATGGTCCCTTAGTTAGACACCAAGAAAAAGCCCAAATAAATACAATCAGAAACACAAAAGATGAAGTCACATCTCACCCCGAAGAAATACAAAAGATCATTAGAGACTACTATGTACACTTGTATGGAAACAAACTGGAAAACCTTCAGGAAATGGAAGACTTTCTGATATCATACAACCTGCCTAGGTTGAAACAAGAAGAAATTGAGACCCTAAATAGACCAATAACAATCAAGGAAATTGATTATGTAATAAGAAAACTACCTACAAAAAAACAGCCCTGGACCAGATGGCTTTCCAGCAGAATTATATAAGACATTTAAGGAGAAGCTGATGCCAATCCTACTGAAAGTATTCCAGATGATTGAGAAAGATGGAACCCTCCCCAAATCATTTTATGAAGCTAACATCACATTGATACCCAAACCAGGAAAAGACCCAACAAAGAAAGAGAACTACAGGCCAATATCTTTGATGAACATAGATGCCAAAATTCTCAACAAGATCCTAGCAAACCGGAGTCAACAACACATCTCAAAAATCATCCATCATGACCAAGTAGGTTTCATCCCTGGGACGTAAGCCTGGTTCAACATTCGCAAAACAGTAAATGTAATTAAATACATCAACAGACGTCAGAACAAAAACCACATGTTTATATCATTAGATGCAGAAAAGGCTTTTGATAAAATCCAGCACCCCTTCCTGATAAAAACCCTTGAACACCTAGGCATACATGGAACATACCTCAAAATAGTAAAAGTCTTCTATAAGAAACCCACAGCTAGCATACTCCTAAACAGACAAAAATTGGCACCATTTCCCCTGAAAACTGGAACAAGACAAGGATGCCCACTCTCTCCCCTCCTGTTCAATATAGTATCAGAAGTCCTAGCTAGAGCAATCAGAAAATAGAAGGCGACCAGGGGTATCCAAATAGGAAAAGAGGAAATCAAGTTATCCCTTTTTGCCGATGACATGATTGTGTACCTTGAAAACCCAAGAGAATCTGTAAAAAGCCTCCTTGCACTGATAAAGGACTTTGGCAAAGTCTCAGGGTATAAAATAAATGTGCAAAAGACAATCACATTTCTTTACACCAATAATAAACAAACAGAAACCCAAATAAAAAATACAATCCTATTCACAATAGCCACAAAAGAAATGAAATAGCTTGGCATCTTCCTAACCAGAGATGTGAGAGACCTTTACAATGAAAACTACAAAACACTGCTCAAAGAAATCAAAGATGACACAAACAAGTGGAAAAATATTCCATGCTCATGGATTGGAAGAATCAACATTATGAAGATGTTCATTCTACCTAAGGCAATCTACAGATTTAATGCAATACCCATCAAATTACCAGCAACATTCTTCTCAGACCTAGAAAAAACAATACAAGAATTCATATGGAAACACAAATGACCAAAAATAGTCAGAACAATCCTCAGCAAAAAAAAACAAAGCAGAGGTATCACACTACCAGACTTCAAACTTTACTATACAGCTACAATAATCAAAACAGCTTGTATTGGTACAGGAACAGGCATATAGACCAATGGAATAGAATTGAGATTCCAGAAGCAAACCACAATTTCTCAACCAACTCATCTTCAACAAAGCCCCCACCACCTACCACTGGGGAAAGGAGAACCTATTCAGTAAATGGTGCTGGGAAAACTGGTTGACCACATACAGAAGATTCAGACAAGACCCCTGTCTATCCCCCTACACAGAAATTAACCTAAATGGATCAGAGGCCTAAATGTAAAACCTCAAACCATAAGAACCTTAGAAAATGCAGGACACAACCTTATGGAAATTGGAACTGGC